CATTTAACCCAATTATCTTAATATATTAAAAATGTCATCATTGTGATTTGAACTCTGATCACTTAAATGAAAAAATAGCATTATAAACAACTAGACTATATTATATTTATTGTTATTTCTTTGATTATCTATAATATATTTAAGCAGATTCATGGGTTAGAATGATCTCATTTCAAATTTCGTGAACTGAGAGTAATTCTAGTAAGTTTATTTTTGTCATTTCACAAAATTCATCTTTATATATTAAAAATGTTATCTTTGGGATTTGAACTCTGGTCACTTAAATGAAAATGGATCATTATAACCAACTAGACTATATTATATTAATTGCTATTTCTTTGATTAAACTCTAAAATATGTTTGGTAAAGAGTGTAAGTGGGCACCAGGCCGGGTCGCCCATGGGCTAGCACGACACGGCACGAGCACATACATGAAATATGTAGGCCATCTCGGCGCGAGGTGGTTCGTGTCGGGCCTAATATTTTTCAAATCTTATTGAGTATAATAACATACATTGCACGAAAATAATATTTATTTGATATAAATTAATATATAAAGAATTAATAATCTAAAAAAGATATAAAGGCAAAACATGAGTTGGCTTTTCCAGGATTCAAATTTCCAACCACCAGAGAGCTTTCCGGAGGGGCAAGCATGTCATTACATGTGGTTCATTTCACCATTTTTTGATGTGTCAATAAATTTGTAACCCCAGGCAAGATAAACCTCATTATACATTTTGATTCTTCATTTAAATAAAATAGTTTGAAGAATGAACAAACTATACACTCAACCGTAGGTTGAATGAATTTTGGCTTTATCATTTACAATAATTTGTGCATTTATAATATCCTGATGTATGAAATATATTATGCATTGTTTAGAAGTATACTCAATTTTTGTCCCATTAGTGGAAGTAGGTTGAAATGTAAGATTTCATATGGTATTCAAAGGGGAGGAGTTACGGTACTAATTGTACAATAGTTAGCACCGTCCTAACCAAGGGAAAAACTACTACTAATTTGAATTAGTAGTGATATAGCTTAGATGTTGTATTGATTTTATAATAATCCATAGTGATTTCGTTATTTTTAGTAGCTTTTTTTGCTAGTTATCACGGTGCTAAACCCTATAAGGGTTAGCACCTAATCTCATCCCTATTCAAAGCAGTATTTTGAAGTAGGTTGAAATATAAGTATACTCATTATTTGTACCCTAAACCATAAAGGAGATTTTCTGTCATTTTGCACCCCAATTAAATGGCCCATTGCGTTTTATTCCACGCATCTGAACCCTCCTTCAATGCTTCCAGCGAGTTTTTATAATGGGTTTGCGGTTTGGGCGCGATGGGCCCGAAATGGTCCAAGTACTACAACTGTCGAGAGCCGCAAACTCCCCCGCATATGCTTCATGAATGGATTGGGAAGAGGGGTGTCATTTTGTTCAGGCCCTTAAAGATAACCCAAAATAATTTTGTCAGCAATTCGTTATTCATCGCCATTCACTCCCCTACTCTTCTGTCATCGCTTCATAAAGTAATGCGTTTATTTCTTGATGCATATTGTCGCCGGGCAAGTACTTTTTGTTTTCTTTTTCTTTTTGGTAGAAAGACGGACGCAACAACGTCATAATTCAAATAACTAATCGAACGAGTTTGGGCAATGCCCAATACATGCATCATACATAATCCAATGGTTCAGACCTGTATCACACACATCGAATAGATGTATACCAAAATCAAAAGTGTGACCTTTACTAGCAAGAAAGTCGGCCGCAAAATTCCTTACTCTATGAACATGGGAGATACTAACTCTCCAGTTTCTATCAAGAAGATTACGAACTTGATGGGCAAGGTAGCCATGTCGATGACTGTCTTCCTTGCAGTTCTTCATAATAGTAACCGCAGTCATTGAATCAAGCTGAAGTTGAATTTTCCTATGCCCCTTGTCCCTAGCAATCTTAAGACCCTCCATAGCCCCTTTCAATTCTGCAGCAGAAATCGAACAGGTCCCAAGGTTGCAGACATAGGCTTCAGAGCATCTTCCATGACAGTCCCTGATCAGCCTGCCTGCCGCTGCACTTCCTGAGCGAGAGAGGACAGATCCATCTGGCTGAATTTGTACCCAGCCCTCAGGCGGCGGCAACCAAGCAAGGTGAACTTCTGCTCTCTGAATGGGCCATGGTCAAAACACTTAGAAACATTCAGATGGGCTTGCTTGAAGTTACTGAACCACGCCTCGACTGTATTCCACAATATACGAGTTCAAGCCAAAAGCGTAGTAGCTACTAGCTAGAAAGAAACCGGTATGTCAAATTACCACTCACCGGATTGAATTGAATGGTCCTCTGTGGCATATGTAGCTTCAGATTCAGTTCCTAAGTTTCGTGGTTTTGGTTCCTTTTCAATCAATTCTCACATCCAAATGATTGGCCCGGTAATTGTTTTGGTGGGTTTGGTTGTCACGATGGTGGAATGACAGTCGGTTTAACTTGGCTCAATTGGTTCGGGTTATGAAACAGACGTGAACTTTACCTGTATGATCAATTTGTGATATCTAAACACAATAACGTGTTTTAGTAAATTTAATTAATAAATACTTCATTTTTTATTTATTTTTTGAATTTAAAAGTTAAGTATTGGTGTTATTTGTTGAATTCAAGTATAAACGTTTAGGAACTGATGTTAAATGTTGTATTTAAATGTGAGTATTTGTTATCTGACTTTGAATGTCGTATTTTATTTAAATATTAATATAGAATTTAAGTAAATTGTCTTCAATTATATTATGTATATGATTATATTCATTTGAAGGATGTTCATGATTTTTCACATTTCTACATATTTTGTTAAACTGACATGAATCGATACAAACCGATTATACCATTGGTCGAACCATCCTACTTGCTAAAGCTTGACAACCTTATTCCTACCCGAAATTCAAACCCCCCAATCCTCTCATTTGTCATAAGTTTCGTGGGTTTTGGTCATCTGTTTGGAGACTATAGAAAGGATCTGGAACTGGAATTGGAATAGGTACTGGTATTTTCCAACAAGATGATCCATCATCTCAATTAGGTATTTGCGAATTTGGCAATTAAAAATTTAGAGCCCGGAAAATTATACTGGACATATTGTTTGAACCAAAAGTACTATAATAGGCAATAGAAAATATTTCCAAACTAGGCCTTTAGCCTTCTTTATGCATCCTTCATTAGTACTTCTGACCATTAATCAATAACAGACCATTTCCATACTCCATGCGCTTTTTCCGCTAATTAGTAAATACTCTACTTTTTTTTACATTACTAAATCTATTTCAATTATAGGGAAGCATTGCTATCTAGATTTATGTCTTTGGGGTAACTTTGGTATGGCTGGAGTTTACATTTTGGAGTTTTATTTACTTTTGGGAAGGGAATTGTATGACCTTATAATAGACAATTTTTATAGCATACTATAAAACTCATGTTCATTCATTATTATGACAGATTTAGTTGGTGAAGTTCACCATACACAACCAACCTCTCAACTTTATGCATGGTAAGTTCTTTCATAAATAAATCTTAGTATCCTAGCCAAGGGACAAAGTGATGGGAATGGTTGTATTATGTCTTCAACAATTACCTAGAAGCGAAATTGCGGGCATCACAACAAAATAAAAACAATCATTCTCATAATAATATGAAATTACAGGAACAAGGAATTCGTGAATGTTCCATTTGCTGGTTGTACGACTACCTTGAAGCACATATGGGATCAGTCTAGGAGCTAGAGGCAGAGGTTGGTATGGGCGTTGTTTTATGCGATTTACAACAAAGGGGTTATGTAACCAAAAGGAAGTTCAAGTTTGTAGTTTTTTTTTTTTTTTTTTTTTTTGCTATGGATTCTCAGATTGGTGAGCATGAAGAGATAGGATTAGAAGGAATCGCTAGAGAACCCGGGGAAGATAAAGTAGAACTATTGAGAATCCAAGATAATATTAGAAGCCAGAAGGAAGTCGATCGATTGTTGGTACGTGAATGACGAGTACACGTTTCTACCTTGGTCCCACTTCCCTGGTCATTCGATCTGGTGGCTCAAGTATTTTTCTTCTTCTTTTTGATGAATAGTGGTGGCTCAAGTATTGGCCCATTCTTCTATTACTTTTTTCCGTTCATATCATATAATATTTTTTTCAATACATTAGGGATGTTATTGCTTATTATTGTTTTTTGTAAAGGGATAATACCACTGAAAATATCATCCTTTAGCGAAAGTGCCATTAATATTACATCTTTTTCGATATGCCATTTGTATACTAAAATGTTTTCTCCGTTAGTTGGGTCATTAAACATAACTGTGCGACTTTTCAACGCCCAGTCAGCTCTTAATAGGATCCTACGTGGCTCGGTGAGGTGCTTTATTTACTGAAATGAAAAAAATAAGGTAAAAATAAAAACGTGATCGGGCTCCCCAAACTCATTTCGTTCTCACCTTTCCTCTTCGTCTCCCTCGACTGCGAAACAAAGAAGAACCCTAGCTTCCCATAGGGAAAAAATTTCCCTAAATCGACGAGCTGGGCAGAATCAATCAGCGTGCGAGTGGAGGCGAAGGCTTCGGATCGTCGGCGGGAGTGAGAGCGGAGGAGCGGAGTGGTCGAATAGGCGCAGAGCTATATCTTCGAGTCCGCATCCGCCGTCGAAAACGCCCGATTCATCCTTGCCGCCGCGGACATCTTCCCCGCCTGAGAAGATCTCCTGCTCAACTTCATCTGCTTCATCGTGACCTCCTCGTCATTCGCCATCGTCGCCGTCGACATCGCGCTCTCGCTCATGCTAAAGCTCACGCTCATGCTGCAGCCTCCGACGCATCTTGCTCCGATATTTCCTCTTCCGCCACTAGTTTCTCCACCACCGAAGGTTGAATTTCCTTCTTCTCCTAGACAATAATCGGCTCCTCCGGCTGCGGATTCACTGGATTCAACGACGATTGGGGAGGAGGAATGGCAAAGTAATGCTGCTATTGCGGTGACGACAGCCTGTGGGGATGCTTGGGATTGGGGATTTCGGAGGAGAGGACTTCCTTGACGGTTTCCTCGCTGCAGTCCGGTGGCGGAGCTCTGGTTTCCGCGGTTGGCTTGAGAAACTTGGGCGGCTCGAAGTCGTAACTGTTGCCGTTTTTGTTTGAGGAAGGGTGAGAAGCAGAAACAATTGGAGAGGATTTGGTTGCACTGCTGAGACAACAACCCATTTGGCGAAAAATTGGTCAGGTGATTCGCATTCGTTAGGGGAATTGCAGGTGGGAAGAAATGGTCGTTGATCAACAGGTCGACCTTAGTTACGACCACTCTTCCACCCTTCAACTGACCTGCTTCGCCTTTCCTTCTGTGACGCCTCAACAACAAACCGTCACCGCCGTCTTCCAAAGCTCGAGCGCAAGAGTCACCTTTCAAAACTCCACAGCCACGGCCCCCTTCCTAAGCTCCAGCGTCGCCGCCGTCCAAAGCTTTGTCGGCACAGTCGCCGTCGTCGTTGTTTGGAACGTAGGTAGCAGGAGAGCAGCTCCGTTCGTCCGTCGGGTTGGGAGAATAGAAGCCCGATGCTGTAAAAAAGATAGGGGTGGGTGGGGTTGAAAGAATTTTTATTTTGTAAAAGAATAATAATAATAATAATTAATAAATCATATTTTTAAAATTTTTAAGCATTTTTTTCAAACGTGGCATCCACGTGTCGCCTAGGTGGACACAAAGGTGGCCACCGTCAGGTCAACCGTCATTTCTAACGGTCAACAGAAATTTGCGTAACACAAATGACGCAAACCCCTAATAGATTGGAATATTTTTGTGCTTATTGAAAGCATGTAATATAAATGACACTTTCGCTAAAGGATGGTATTTCCAGTGGTATTACCCCTTTTGTAAAATTACAAATAATTTATTTTAATTCATCCTCATAATAAATATTGAGCGGCTCTATCCGCACACCGCATGGAAAGTTTAATTTTGGCTTCTCCCATAAACACTTCCATACAACCATTTTAGATAAAACTTTTATATGTATTAATAAACATATTTTTTGGGCTAAAATTTTGTACAATCACCATTTTATTACAAAAGTTACCATAAGAAATTAACTATTTTCAATTGGGTTTATATTTCAACATTTATCAAATGATACGATTATCTATAAGTTACCTGCGCAACGGGGCAGGCCTGGTGCTAGTAATCATAAGTAAACTTTGAGAATTCTTTCTTCCTCTCCTCTCCTCTGCCGATCTCTCTCCCAAAGAATCCCCCACTTCTTCTTCTTCTTCTTCTTCTTCTTCTTCTCCTCTTACCCATGTCCAAACCCTTTTCTCCTTCCTAAACCTCGCAAACCTTTTCTTTCTTGTACTAATAACCTTTAACGTGCACCACCAAGGTCCGTACCTATAACAAATTGGTATCAGAACCTGGTTGAGCATTGTATGCATGCTACGACTAGAAAGATGTCAAAGAAATCCAACAAACATGGGGTTGTGTAGGAGAGCTCGACGCTGCGACGGTGATGAATCAACTGCGTCAGGTAGCGGTCCATCAATCAGAATCGGCAGCTGAACTGAAGGGGTTGAACCAGCAATTGATGGCCCAGGGCGAGAAGGTTGGGGAAGCTGCGACCCTGCTCCACAACGCCATCATGGATGGGTTCAACAAACTGTTCAGCATGATAGCCGACAATATGGCGGCAAGCGGAATGGCTGTTGGACTTCTAACGGGCTCTTTTGACAACACCACAAGGCATCGAGGCCGCTCCGACTAGAGCTTACGAGCCCGTGGAACACCCAGGTCAGGGTGAACCCGTGCAACACCTGGGAGAGATGCGAGGGGATTTAGGCATCCTTCCGAATCCGGAGGTAGGAATGCTACCGCAACAAACAAAGGAATGACAGGTCAGATTGAGAACCAATGTTGCGACGGCTCGGGAATTATAGGGCAGTCGGGGCCGCACGTACAACGCAAGTGAAGGGTGATGGCTGGGTAGGCTATGGACAGGGAGGAAGCTGATGCTTTCCTAGTCATGCGGAAGCAGGGCACACAAGAGGTAGGCGAGCGGGAGCAGGTGGCCACCTCGGTTTCGGTGAATGGCGAGGGGTAAATCGGTCAAAGTTAGGGTGGGGGCAGCAGCAGCCTAGAGAGCGTGGTGCTGGATTTCCACACCTGACAATAGGGGTGGAAAATTGGGGTGGGTGTGGTTACCCGCCCCACATTTTGCGGTAACCGCATCCACAAATATAGAAATATGCTAGCCACAACCCGCCCCGCAGTGGGCAGTGGTTAACCACTACCCGCTGCGGTTTGGTGCGGGTTGGTTGTGGATACCCACATTAATTTTACATTAAAAATACTAATATGGTAATTATATAGTGAGATTGTGTTTCTTCTCACACAAAAACAAAAAACATACATAAAAAAGTTAATTAAGTGTAAAATAAATTATAAATCTAGAATACAATAGGTTAGTTAGTGTAAATTCAAAAGAGATGGATTTGCAAAGAGATTTGAAGATAACGAAGAGGCTAAGTGATATGTTACCCGACTAACATCATTGAATGTCATGGCTCCTCCGTTATAACAACAGCAAAACAAAAAAGTGGCTCGATAAGTGGAGGCGCCCGCTTTTAATGAATCGATTATTCTCCACTCTCGATTAATCGATTATAGTCTTGTATTGTAGGTAGCTGGTTGCATGTTGTGTTGTTCGTGAGTTCGTGGAGAAATGGAGATGGGTTTGGGTATCAGACTAACCTTTATCGATTATTCTCATCTTTTAACGAATCGATTAATTTATCTGACTATATCTATGGACTTGGTTTTGTTATAAATAAACATATACCACACAGACAATGCTTATTTAATAAAAGTATCTCACATGAACATTATGTATTGACTTGGTTTTGTTTTATAGAATAAGTGCATATTTGATTTTGGTAGCTACTTTAATTCTTAGTCTTCCAAGTTTAACAAACTAATATAACTAATGTGGTTAATGTGGGTTACAAAGTATTTTGAAAAAATAAATATAACTAATGTGGTTAATGTGGGTTTTGTGGGTAAACCGTTGTGGGTAGTGGTTAACCACTAACCACAAAAATCAATATTTTGATACCCACACCCAACCCACTATCCACAAATTTTGGGTATGGGTATCCACAAAGTGTGCGGTTTGCGGGTTACCCACAACCCGCAAACCAAACTTCCACCCCTACCTGACAACGCTATGGCTCGGCAAGATGATTCAAGGAAGCGGCAATGCTAGGGGAGGTAGGGGGTGTTAGAGATAGATTAGGAATAATTTTATATTTTCTTGTTCTTCTAGTATAGTTCTTAGTAATTCCGTGTCCTTCTAGTATTACAATTATTGTGGTTCTCTTACTTATTGTCTAAGTCTTGTAATCTATATAAACCCCTTTGTGGTTTCATAATAATATACACTACTATTCCTAAAACTCCTATATGGTATCAGAGCCTTTGCTTAACAGCCGATCGATCCAAAAACCCTAATCACCTTTGTTTTTCGTTCGTTGGCGGGATGAGTCCTCACTCACCCGGTCCTTTTCCTTCCGCAGCTTAATCACCTACCATTCTCCATTCATTATTTTCTTTCACTTTTTTCTTTTACCCGTAGCCACCTACCTAAAATTTATAATTATTATTTGTGTCTTCCTTTCTCAGTAATTAGCATCCAAATCAGTAATTTCTTCCCCTGCCCAGCGTCCCAGCAGCGACCATTGTCCAGTTGTCATTCCCCCAAATCAAATCTCACATAGATTGATAATCTATTTTCCATTATCGTCGACTCTACTAAATTTTTGTGCTATAAAGCTCGATCACTACTCCCTTTCTTCGGAGATGAAGCTCTGGCTTTTACAGTTCATTGCTCAAGAGTTTGTATGGTATGGAGTCCATAGTCAATCTCCAGCCATCTCTCCTTTGTGTGTATGGAACAAAGGAAGTTTCTCCGACCACAATCATTCAAATGAATTCTTCGTGTCCTTACACCAGTTTACATTTATTGGTATCGTTAAAACCAATTAATTCATCTCGATCCTAGTCAACTTTTGACGGCGAGTGAGTTTCGTTGCAACATATGCATTGCAAGTTTGGTGATTTCTTCTTCTCCAAGACGATGGTTAGTTGGCTTTGCTTTTCAAGCACAAGAGTTCGACGAGTTTGCTTCACATTCTACACCATCACATTGCGGGGGCGTGTTCTTCAAGATTGATGTTGTTCTTCGCACCATCATCTTGCAGGGGCGTGTTAGAGATAGAATAGGAATAATCTTATATATTTTCTTGTCCTTCTAGTATAGTTCTTAGTATTTTCGTGTCCTTCTAGTATTACAATTATTGTGGTGCTCTTACTTATTGTCTAAATCTTGTAATCTATATAAACCCTTTGTGGTTTCATAAAAATATACACTACTATTCATAAAACTCCTGTAGGGGGTACAGACGGCGGCTCATAGAAAAACCGGTGGAGCCGTTGGAGTTCGAGGACAAGAACGGTTTGGAGTTCGTTGAACCAAGGGGGAGCGACAATGCCTCCAAGACGCACCACCTATATAGGGGGTCACAGATACGGCGGAAATGGGGAGGTGGCGGAGATGCTTTGCCAAGTGAAACCACCAGTGACTGAGTTTAGGAGTCTTTCAGGAACAGAAGATGGAGGCATGTTGTTATCTCGAGCATCATGTGTGGTTTCGTCACTAGGGAACTGAGGAGGATCAAAAGGCGCAACTGGCGGGCTTCTGTTTGGATTGTGGCGCCTAGAAATGGTGGGAATAGATGGAGTGTGTCTATGCTCAAGCAGGACAAGTAATCACGTGGTCACGGTTCAAGGAGGAATTCAGAATTAGGTTTAATATATCTGATGGGTCGGCATCCAAACAACTGGTCAAGCTAAAGCAAACATGCACGATAAGTGAGTTCTAGTTTGAATTAATCTCTATTATGGAATTCCAGAGGATACACAAGCAGAGATCTATTTGGTAGGCTTCAAGACTTAGATTGCTGGGGACGTCAAAGTGTTTGAACCCCACTCACTTTGAGTAACCTTTTGCATAACAACAAGGAAGGAGGAGGAATTAGCGAGACAGAGAAACCACGTCAACCGTCCTCCGTTCAATACAACTGAAGGAGGCAGTGCCGGAGGTGGGACGACGGTGGGTGTAGGATCGGGCGCAGGAGGGGTGGTGGCTGCTGGAGCTTGTAAG